AAAAGGACCAGCCAATGCTGAGCAATGGAGAGAGTGGGGTGGGACATCCTGGTCTGGAGAGGAGAAGAAGGAAGCAAGCGGGAGGATTCAGAGAGCAGAGATTGGCAGGAGAGGACCTGGAACCAGGAGGAGAGATGAACCAAACCTAACATATGACTAAAAGCAAGTATAATGTGGGAAATCTGAATGGGAGGAAACTATGTGGGCTTGGAGGTTTAGGATGGAGTATCTATTGCTCAGCATTGTGCTCTAGGTTAACTAAGTAAATCCTAGTCTCTGTGTGGTGATTTGGGTATAGAGCTGGTTTAGGAATAACCACTGTTTAACTAAAAGATAAATCAATAATAAATATTAATAATCAACAACTCTACATAGTGAGTTCGAAGACAGCTAAGAACCCCACAGGGAAGCAGCATTAGCATTCTGACATTACCAAAATCACACATGTGACCCTGCAGAAGGGGCACAAGATGACTCTATTTTTTGTGAAATGAATTTGATTTTTTGTTTGTTTGTTTCAGACAGGACTCCCTATTATACAGCACTGGCTGACCTGGAACTCATTACTTGGACCAGGCTGCCTCAAACTCAGAGATCCACCTGTCTCTGACTCCAGATTCCTGGAATTAAAGGCATGTGCCACCACGATGGCTCTGAATTTGATTCTTAACAGTAGCAAGTTCAGTATAATTAAGGTGTTTTACCTTTTTAAACCAAGACTTTATTGTACTGTTAAGTTCAAAAGAAGTGACCTAAACTCTTCCTAAAGAAGACTCTTATCATGACACCAGCCATTAGGTGGAGGCCCACCTCTGGTCTCCTTTTCCATGTGCCTATCAATATTGGGCCCATCAGACTTCTTATGGTAGTGATCTGACATTTTACTAGAACTGTTATCGAGAGATAAAGTAGCTTTAAAAATAGATAATGGGGCTGAGGGGACAGTTTAGTGGATAGGAGTAGCTGCTCTACAAACTCAAGGACCTGAGTTTGAATCCCCAGGACACATCTAAAAATCAGAGTATGCTTATACCCCAGAATAGTGATAGAAAACAGTGGACCCCACAAGCTTGCTGGCTTGCAAAAAAAGGGGCTTCTGATTCAGTGAGGGACCATGTCTCAGGACAACAAAGCAGACAGCAATAAAGTCATAACATCCTGATCTGTGCATGGGTGTCACTATCTACATACTCAGACAGGTGCAAGGTACATATCCGGCCGCTGATGCCCAGACAGACAGACAGACAGACAGAGAGTGCAACAGAGTGCACACTGGGTAAAAGCACCTGGAGCTGGCAATGAGGCCAATGTCCTTCATGAAGCTGGCTGGCTACTGAAGGGGACACAAGAGAATAGTTCTTGCAGAGGGTTAGGTTAGCACCCCATTGAGCCATACCCACTCTAACAGTGGCCGATCTAACAGACTTTTCTAGTGACAAATGCATAGGAAACTATGAAAATGCTGCTAAAGAAGACAAGAAAGAAGGAAAAAAAAGAAAACCCGGTTTTCTTTTGCTCAAAAATTTCCTTCTGTGCTCCTGGTCAATACAATAAAAATAAGCCTTACCTTTTAAGTAGTCAATAACTAATAAAAACAATGTAAAACTATAAAACGGTAAGTAGGATGACTCGAAGGAAACCTAAGATATTACGGTTACTTTTAGGGGAGTCTGCATCTATGTTAGATGGAGATGGAAGTAGGCTTAGGGGCCACACAGGCTCCATGCGCAGTCAAAATAACAGCAAAAGGCAGTTACTCTGTGCTATTTAGAGAGCAACTGGCAGTTGCCCATGGTGGCGCAGGCCTGTAATCCCAGCACTCAGGGAGGCAGAGGCAGGTGGATCGCGGTGAGTTCAATGTCAGCCTGGTCTACAAAGAAGTCCAGGACAGCCACGGTTACACAGGAAAACCCTGTCTCAAAAAAAACAGAAGGTGGTGGTGGGGAATGAAGCAGCTGCCTTGATCCTAAAGCTGGTATTTCAAGGGTACCATCTTTGAGTAGGTCTGTCTAATACATCAGTTTTCAGCATTTGAGGTGGACACAGGTTCTGGCCCTGCACTTCTCCACTTCTTCACCAGAAAAGCTCCTACAAGATCAGCAGTCTTCTATTTTCTCTTTAGAGGAAAAGGTTTAAAATTAAGAGAAGTAGTCAGGCAGTGATGGCACACACCTTCAATCCCAACACTAACAAGGCAGAAGCAGGTGGATCTCTGAGTTTGAAGGCAACCTGGTCTATGATGCGAGTTCCAGGACAGTCAGGGCTACACAAAGGCGGCCTGTCTCAAAAGAAAAAAGTGTACGACTTACGGTCACAGAGGTTAAAGGTAAAGTAGTAATCCAGCCCTTGAGTGCGATTAGCCTCTCCTCTCTTCTCTCTCCAAAACTTGCCTTAGCATCCCAAATGGTGGGATTAAAGTTGCGTGCTACCACACCTGGCTTCTTTCTTCTTATTCAAGACAGTGGTGTGGGGGCTGGAGTGGTGGCTCAGTGGTTAAGAGCACTGGCTGCTCTTTCAAATGGACCCGGGTTCAATTCCCAGCACCCCCATGGCAACTCAAAACTGTCTCTAACTCCAGTTCCGGGGGATCTAACACTGCCACAGAGACATACACACAGGCTAAAACACCAATGTGCATAAAATATAAATAAATAAATAAATATTAGGGAAAGAAAAAAAGACAGGGTATGCCTAGGTGACTGTGAACCCATGATAATGCTTAAGCTTTTAAAGTGCTAGAATTACAAGTCTGTACTACCATCACAGTAGGAGGGAGAGGGGGTGCAAGACAAGGTTTCTCAGTGGAGCCATGGCTATCCTGGAACTCACTCTGTAGACCAGGCTGGCCTTGAGTTCACAGAGATCCACCTCCTGAGTGCTGGGATTAAAATAATGTGTTTCTTAGCCAGTTCTTCTTTAATAATAATAATAATAATAATAATAATAATAATAATAATAATAACTTATTTAATTTAATTTTAGGTGTATTACTGTGAAAGTGTCAGATTTCTTGGAATTGGCATTACAGTTGTAAGCTGTCATGTGGGTGCTGGGAATTGAACCCAGGTCCTTTGGAAGAGCAGACAGTGCTCTTAACCACTGAGCCATCTCTCCAACCCCCCCCCCCCTTTTAATAGTTTTTTTTTTTTTTTTAAGCGATGTATTTATTATGTATACAATGTTTTGCCTGCCTATGTGCCAGAAGCGGGCACCAGATCTCACTGTAGATGGTTGCTGGGAATTGAACTCAGGACCTCTGGAAGAACAGACGGGGCTCATAACCTCTGAGCCATCTCTCCAGCCCCCTAACCAGTTCTTTAAAACACATTTAAGAATGACACAAATCTGTCAAAATGAACAATACTGGCTTGGGTGTAGTGGTTCATGCTTAAAACCCCAGCATTCATAAGGCTAAGGCAGGAAGATTTTGAGTGTGAGTTCAGTGTGGGCTAGCCATATAGGAAAAATCTTTCTTGTTGTTTTCCTTTTGCGGTAGGATATTGGAACATCAGCCAGAATTTTAATTCAAAAAGTGCCTGGAGGTGGTAGCACACATATGTACCCTTGTACAAGTACCAAAAGTACTTGGTAGGTTAGAATACAGAAAAATTACGAGTTCATGGCCAGCTTCATATCAAGTTTAGGGCCATCCTGGGCTACACAAGACTCCTTCAAAATAGCCAAAACACAGCTAGGAAATTTGAAATCACATAGGCTTGTAAGTAGTACCAAGGCCATTCCCTTTACCTGATACATTAAGAATTCACCTGTCAACATTTCAGGCAATGACTTTAAGTTGTGGAGTACTGCTCAAGCATGAGAGCCTCTACATTTAGAGCGAAATCTAAATACACAGTTCAAAAGCTTTCTGACAATTGTTAATCCCAGCACTAGGTAAGCAGAGGCAGGCAGATTTCTGTGTGTTTAAAGCCAGCCTGGTCTACATCAGTGAGTTCCAGGACACCTAGGGCTATGTAGAGAGACCCTGACAACATCCTATCACAATAGAACAGACTGTGATAGGAAAGCACCCAATCAGTAACTCATACTTGAAAAATTCCCTCCCAGGCATACGTAATCATGTATTCCTCAACTCATTCCCTCTTTCTTTAATGCTAAAAATGGCTATCTGACACCATATGGCACCTTACCAATCAGGGAAGAGTAACGGCAGTACACAAATAGGGACCGGCTTTAGAGTGCCCGAGGAGTCAGAACAGTAAGCTGTGCTGATATCATGATGGTATTCATACTGAGGAGAGAGGGTGTGGGCTCAACTAGAGCATAATTCCTGTCACTGGCCGTTTCAAGATTTTCCACTTTAAGAACATTTTATATACTCTAGCCCAGGCCATTTTAGAAAGCTAGAAACAAACTTACAGTTCACTGCAACTTGTTAATCTTCTCAGAAACAATCAGCAGCCAATATGACACAGATGCAGTATCTTTACTAAGTACAAACCTCGATGTGTTTTCTAGCCAGGGAAGACAGCAGTTTAAAACCAGCTATACACACCTCTAAATTCACACTCAGAAGCTGAAGCAAGAGGGCACAACAGGGAAACCATGTCTTCAAAAACTATGTGTTCTTAAGCAATGAAATATGAATGAAGACTTGCTTTTGTGAGTCCATATCCAAATTATAAGAAGAAAAAAAAGAAAGGATTAAAATAATCCAATTACTCCAGCCAGACTACTCCTTTAGGGAGCTGGACTTCCAAAGAAACGACGATACAACAGACATCTCACCTGATCCCTACTGTTACAGAACATCTGGGTGCAAACATACACTTATCTACAAATTTCATCCAGGGTCCGAGACAACAGCCTTTCAACCTAAAACCTACAGCTTAACTCCAGTAGTAACACTTCCAGAAAAATGACCAAGCTAAGTCTTTACTAAATTTATTTAGTCCCCAGTGAGTCTGAGCAAGATTATCACTTTAAATAATTCCAATGAAATAACCACACATTACTACTTCATTTGTAGCAAAGCTTACTTTTGTGTAGCGATGGGGGGATCTGGAGGTGGGCAGCTTCTTCAGGTCAAGGAAAGCATCTCCATTTTCTGTTCCATCCACACTTCTCTTCTCCATGGCTTCTTGGTGTACAATTTTTTTGCACCTGGAAGACAAAATTCAACACAAAACTGTCAAACAGAACAATAAATATTCAGAAAGCTTAGCTGCTAATTAAACTGAAACATTGAGGGGAAAAATCTAAATAATTTTGTAAAGAAGTCCATCCGAAAATTATGGGACGAGGCAGGACTAAATTGGAAAGAGAACCACCTGAAGTTTTCAGAGTATCCCACAGCGTAGAGAAAACAGAAGTGGAAGGAGCCCAACTCTGGGCACAACCTTTAATTATCTTTAATACAAAGAGAAACCAAAATAGTCGCTGCCACCCACGAGAATGGACCTGGCGGTGGTGGTGGGGAAGTTTCCCGGAGTAGAGTAGGGGCAAGACTGGTTAGGCTGCCGATCCGGGAACTCAGGCTGCCCGAAAGTGCCTGTCACTTGTCAATGGATGGCACCAGGTGCTCTCTATTACCACAGTGTTCGGGGCCGAGGAACCGGTACGAGCGCACCTCTCTCAGCCAGCCACACCTGTGGCCATGTGAGGGGCGTCCGCGGCGAGGAGAGGGCCGGTGCGGGCCTCCTCTGGGCAACTCCGCTCCTTAAACCATCCCCCGGCCCCTCACCCAATCCCCAGGCTACAGGCCTCCTCCCGGAGAAGGGCAGGGACGGTACTCACGGAGGGAGGCGGGCCGGAGGGAGCAGGGACCAAGTCCACAGGTCGGCCGCCTAGAGCCGGCGCAGGCCCGCCTGCTGCCCGCCGGCCGCCCGCGCGCCTGTGCCGCCCCCCGCGCGCGCCCTACCGCCCGCGCTCCCGGGGCAGCGCGCCGTCCTCGACCGCAGGCCGGGGCCCCGCGCTTGCCGTACCCTTGTTCGGAGCGCCCGTCGCCGGGCGGCCCCGCGCGTCGGCCGCCGCGTCCCCCCGCGCCCGCTCCAGGCCCGGCGTCGCTGCCCGCGGCCTGCGCTTGCGCCCCCCCCACCAACCCGCTCGGGCTGGCTCTCCTCAGCCGCCGTAACCGCGGCCCGGCCCTCCGGCGCAGCTCTCCGCCCCCTCCCACTAATAACCCCCCGTCGCGCACCGCGGGCCCAGGCACCGCCCTCGCAGCGCGCAGGACCTGGGGTGTCCGCGGCGGTGCCTGGCCGAAAAGCCGCGCTGGGCCGCGCGCTCATCCGCGCTGGGTTCTGCGTGGGCCGGGTGGCGAGGGCACAATAGTCGGATGGGCACGGCGGCTGCGGGGACGTGGTCACGACGGGAGCTGTGGGAGCCGACGCCCGAGCTCGCAGGCGGCCGCCGTGGGCAGCTCAAGGAAAGGCGCCGCGTTCCCACGCGTCATGGGGGGCGGAGCCGGCAGAGCGCCGTCCCCGGACCCGCGCCACGCCGGCGCGAGCCGGGTGGTCTGGGTGGGTCTGCGCTGGCTGGTTGTTGGCAGTCGCCGGGCTGTGCCATTAGTGGGGATCATGCAGCCGGGCCAGCTAGGAGAACGTAGCAGTGTTCTGTCTGTTTACTGTTGGCGTGATCAGTAATAAAGCTTTGAGAGCCCTGAATTTTCGCTTTTTTTTTTTTCCTCCTAAAACTGTCCCTAAAGTTACTAGGACTAGTGCACTAATAAGCAACTTTGTTACAATTATTTTGAGATCCCACATGAAGGAAATTGACAAACTGAATTATCTTTTAGTGAATAATCTGAATCTTGCCTTGTCCTGCACGGGAAGGGAAGAGTTAAGTATCTGGAGGAAATTAGATGGCCGGTTTCGGGCGCTTAGCCTTTGCCCAAGTGCCGAAAATCAAGTTGACGGAGGATCCAAGAACTGCCGCTCGGGGAAGGTCGCTTGTGAGCCTGGACTGCATGAGTATGCTGAGCTGTTTCTGCACGGTGGGACTGCCCAGAATTGATAGGGTTTTTTTTGGCGTGGAGGGAGACGGTTGGTTGTTTTGTTTCTCTAAAGAACAGCGAGGCTGAGCATGTTGGCCTGAGCATTATAAACTCAGCATTGCAGAGCATGAGTCCGGAGTTCAAAGCCAGCGTGAGCAGCTTGGCATTTGAACACCATCTACTTTACTTGGGAAACTACTTCCCTTTCTTTCTGTGAGCCTTGACAACAAAAGTAAAAAAAAATAAGGAAAAAAAATCCGTTTGTAATGATTAATAGTAAAGTCTTTCTTACAAACTATCTTTTGCGATGGGTTTTTAATATGTAAACCTGGCTAGCTTCCCAAGTGCTGGGATAAAGGCGTGTGCCTCCAGAACTGCAGACAAGAGGCAGAGAAACATTTGCACATAGGCCTGATTCTCCATTGCCATATAGGCTGTGTAGAGTTAGGAAATGTAGTTTTCTTTAGCTTGGTTTAGACGGAAATAGCAGTACTGAAGATTAAATTTGTCAGTGAGGGGGGAAAGCCTTAGATAATCTGCATAAAGTTTCTTTGAAAAAAATTTAATATTTCCTATGCAAAGACACACTGTAGGGAATCAACAGTGGTTCCTTTTATGTTCGTAAAAGCTATCTTTGCCAGGCTGGAGGTGTAGCTTCAGTAATAAGAGTGATTTTTTTTGGTTTTTTGTTTTTTTTTTTTCTCAGCACCACAGGCAAAACAAAACAACCGATTTTCTTTGGGATTTAGATTCTTAAAGCTGAGAAATATAGGACCAATCCCCTTGTTATGGACTACAGAAGGCACTCTCTCCAGCTGCTGAGTTAGAGACCCAGAGCTCAGGCATGCTAGGTACTGTTCTGCCCAGTTCACGAACCCCAAAAGACCAGGAATAAACAGACTCCGCTGTAAATACATGAGGTTCTTTTTATTGTAAATTACAAGCTGCAGCTTGGGCCCACATACACCCACAGCCGAAGCGGTGGGAGCCGAGCTGCCCAGGATAGTTGGGTGATTTAAAGATTCTGGTCCATCCCAGCATGCCCAAGGCAGGGGCGATTCCTGCCTGGCAAGCATCTATTGGTCAAAATGCTACATTTTGAATCGATTGGCTATAGGAAGGTTCCCAGACCATTTATGACCAGGTGTCCCTCCCTAGGGGGATGGTCCAGTTTCCTAGCAACTGTATCTCTAGTGGGTGGGGAAAGAATGTGGTGAGGTGGCTCTTCCCCTCAGGGCACTACTAGACTTCTTTATGGTACCTACTTCAGGTCTTAATAATAGCTGCTAATTTATCTTTTGGTCTCTCAGTACCAGGACTCTACCTGACTTATACAATATTTGTAGTCAATCCCAGCTGTTAATCAGTGCTAGCCAAGAACTCTTAAAAACTGAGCAACATTTCTAGCCCAGGAACTTATTTTCTTGAAGCTATCAAGGGTCACTTAGTGTATTTCACCACCCTAGACATGTTTCCTCTGTCAGAAAGGGATCAAAGTTCCTGCTTTTCTGTCTTGTAGAAATAATTAGAGGTAACATTGAAATGACCTGGACCTGGATGGACATGGTGACACAATCCTGGAATTGTTGCATTCAGGACACAGGCATATCTGTGAAATCTAGGCTAGCATGGTCTACATTGTGAGTTCTAGGCCAGCCAGAGCTACACAGTGATGCCCTGTCTGGAACATGGAAGGCAGGGCCAGGAGAAAATTCTCAATCGTTAGGAGCATAAGTGGCTCTTCTAAGGATCCCGTTTGATTCTTAGCACCTACATGATTTACTCCACGTGTAACCCCAGTTCCAGAAGAAACACACTACATAATATTCAGGTAAACCACTAATACACATAATCTTAAAAAATTAAAAATAAAAAAGTGAACAAGAAAAAAAACAGGACTGAGAATATAGCTCAGTGGTAGAGTACAAGCTTTGCATGTGTAAGGCCCTCAGTTTGTTTTTTAGCATCCACTAAAACAAAACAAAACAAGTCATGCCCCAAACTAGAGGATAAAGCCGGTATTTTGCTTCCAGATTTATAAATTGGGTAGGTACCAACAGCTGCTCTCTGGTCCTTTCATCACTTTCAGGGCTAGGAGCTAAGACCCCTTAGAGGATCCTTTATTCACGTGCTTGGGAATCAAAGGTTGCTATCAGCTGGGCCTATGGAGCTTTAAAACACACATGTCCTTTTTAATTTAAAAAATTTATGTTCCTGTTTTAGTACCTTGTGTGTATGCATGTATGTTTGTACCTTATAAAGGACTCAGAAAAACTGTACTGTGTTTAAGAGGACAAGACTTGGCTTCTTTCTTTTTTCGTCAGAGCTGAGACCGGAACCCAGGACCTGTACCACTGAGCTACATCCCCAACCCCGACTTGACCTCTTTATATGGGAGAAATGTCAACTTGTATGTGTTAAAAGTGCCATAAGTCATATATGATATCACTGCTTAAGAAACTGTTGCTGGGGGCTGGAGAGATGACTCAGTGGTTAAGTGTACTGTCAACTCTTCCAAACGGACCTGGGTTCAATTCCCAGCACCACATGGCAGGTTACAACTGTCTGTAATGCCAATTCTAACGGATCTGACACCTTCACACTAATGCACATAAAATTATTAAAAACAAAACAAAAAAGAAACTGTCTGGAGAGTTGGTCTGGAGAGATGGCTCAGAGGTTATGAGCACTGGCTGTTCTTCCAAAGGTCCTGAGTTCAATTCCCAGCAACCATATCGTGGCTCAACCATCTATAGTGAGATCTGGTGCTTTCTTCTGGCCTGCAGACACACATGCAGGCAGAATGCTGTATAAATAAATCTTTAAAAAAAAAAAGAAAGAAACTTACTATTACAGTTGATACCTGGAACTAATTTCCTGAGCCCTCTTGTCTATCCTAGTTTGGGCCCACTCTCTACTGGGGTCTTCTAATAGATTTTAGAACTGTGGCCTCATCTGTCTTAAAGTCTTTGTTTTACCCTGTGAGAAAGAAAGCAATTACTACATAGGATTAAAGGTAAAACTTTAAAGGTAAAGAAGAGGCTTTGGAAAATTTCTTTTACCGCTCTGGTTAGGCACTTGCTAATTCTTGTTCCTTTATGGACTCTTTTGTTGTTGTTTTTTTTTGTTTGTTTGTTTTGTTTTGTTTTGTTTTCATTTGATAACAGGGTTTCTCTGTTATGTAGCCTTGGTTGTCCTGGAAGCAGGCTGGCCTTGAATTCACAAAGATCCACCTGTCTCTGGCTCCTGCATGCTGGGATTAAATCTACCATGAGGCCTAGCTACAACTTCGGTTTTATACAAAGGAAATGCTTCATGAAATGCTAGATGCCAAGAAGGCTTTACTTTTTCTTATTATTGTATATGATGGTTTGAATGAGAATGGCCCCCATAGGCTCACCCATGGGTGGAAATGGTTGGGAAGAATTAGAGGTGTGGCCTTGTTGAAGGAGGTGTGTCACTAAGTTTCAAAAGACTGGCACCTTCCACAGTGTGCCCTTCTCTGCCTCCTGCTTGCAGATCAAGATGTGTGCTCCCAGCTTCTGTCCCGGTGCCAGGCCTTGCTCCCCATAAGATGACTCTATCCCTCTAAAACTGCAAACCCCAAATAACTGCCTTCTGTAAGTTGCCCTGGTCATGGTCTTTTCTCTTTTCTGTTTGCTTTTTCCAGGCAAGGTTTCTCTGTGTAGCCTTAGCTGTCCTGAATTCTCCTTGTAGACCCAGCTATCCTCGAACTCAGAGCAATCCTCCTGTCTCTGCCTCTCTGAGTGCGGGGATTAAAGGTGACACCACACCTGGTAGATTTATTTATTTTTCTATTACCTTTATTTGTGTGTGTGCATGGGCATGGCTTGTGGCTAGAGGTCAAAGGATGACTTTTGAGGGTGAGTCCTCGCCCACCCCTTCTGAAGGATTCCTGAAGATTGAGCTCAGGTCCTATGGCTCTGTGACAGCTGCCTTTACCTGCTGAGCCATATTGACAGCTCAGCAGACTGGATTTTAACACTTTATTTGCTTGCTCGTTCGGTGTCATTCTAGCCCAGGCTGTACTGGAATTCAGTAAATAAGCCAGGTTATCTGGAACTGGCAGTGAGTGTCCTGCCCCAGCCTCCCACAGATGCTTGTCACCAATAACTATTTTTAAATACTTTGAATTACAAAATAAGCATTTCTAGAAAAAAAACCAAAAACCCCAAAACCATATTATTTGAGTTTAATCTTTTTAAATTTTTATTTTGTATGTTATGAGTTCAGGAATAGCTGCATACTGACACTTGCACAGCAGACACAGACTGATGGAAGACTAAACAAAAACTGACCAGTCAAGGCCATAATCTGGACTTGGGAACTAGACTGTGACGCTGGTCTGTTTCTAAGGCAGTTTTGTTTGTTTGTTTGTTTGTTTGTTTAATACGAAAAGCTGTAACCAGGTAACAACCAGGAAACCAGGTGTAGTAAGCGAGGGGGGCAGCATTACATCATTTTGACAAGCAAAACACAATGAATTTTGTTCCAAGCCTATTGTGTTGTATCCAGGTCGCCAAAGCACTTTAAGCTGATTGGCTGGGATTTAAGATCAAGCTTGTTGGAGGTTGGTCTGATGTGTGTTACTGGCCCTTAATGTAATCCAGTGTAAGACATATCTGATTGGTTGATTAAACAGCCTGTACCTGGGCAGGCAGAATGGGGTTGTTGTGGCTAAGGTTCCCAGGCTTTGGAGGACAGAGAGGATCACTGGAAGGACACCAGCGGGGGTGGGGGTGGGGTGCCTAGATGGGTTAATGTGGAGTAAAAACCACTCTGGCTAAGGAAGGACTCCAATAATGGCATGAAAAGGCCCAGATGAAGAATCAAGCAAGGACCATGGGATTAGGGGTGAAAGGCAGACCAGATGAAGATGATTAAGGTGGACGGCGTTGGATGGGGGCTGCGAGATGGAGCTGGATGGTGAGGTTATCGACAGTGTCAGTGTTTACCTGCCCGGCCCAAGGTAAACAAGG